CCTCACACTCTGTAATGGCCTATTTGGGAAAAGAATCTGAAAAAAGAGTAGATATATGTATATGTGTAACTGATTCACTATAATGTACAGCAGAAACTAATAACAAAATAAATCAATCGTACCCCAAATAAAAATTTAAAATAAATAAGTAGAATAAAAATAAAATGAGAAAACAGAAATAAATGATTCAGTAACTTGCCTAGGTCACCCTGTCAGGGAATGGCTAAGCAGGAATTAGAAATCCAGTCCTATGTCACTAAAAAGACCTTGTCTTTTCCACCACTCATTCATTCATTCTTTCTCTCTTTCTTTCCAAGCCAACACATCACGTTGAGCACTGGTTTATGGCTTCCTTCCCAAGAGGCTCCCATACATGATGAAGCTGTGACCATTTGGCTAGTTACAAAAGCCAGCCTATGACCAAGAGTTTAGGATGGAGGATAAAGTGATCTAACTGAAAAAAGCCTCACGGATCAAGTCCTGGGCTAGTTGTTCAGACACTGCTCAGGGCACATGTGCAGGAAAAGAGCCCTTTATAGAAAGCAGAAAACGGAAGCAGCGGGGGCTGCGGAGGTTGGGAGTGGTGTAAGGTGCTTTTGCGCAGACGCGCTGGCATTCGATGACAGTGGGTCTCTTCTGCACCATGTTGGCCTAAGGGCGGCTTTTGTTCAATGACAGAGGATCTCTTATGCAACGTGTATTCCACCCAGCAGGCACAATAGTAGAGCCCCGAATCCTCTTTGGTAGCCTGGTGTATCCTGAGGCTCACCAGTGAGTTACTCGGCCATTTCCTTGCTTCATATCTTTCCTCACTAATCCCTTGTTCGTGAACAACATTCTCGTTGGAGGAAATATACAGAATTCGTTTTAGAGGCTGCTCTGGCTTCTGTCAGTACCAGTGCATGTACACATTCTTCTTTAACTTATCTGTTTTTATTTGGCATTCAAGAAATGCCGTATTTCCTTTTTTCTTGGTAATGGATGTTATGCGTTGCGTTATTGAAATATCTCCACTTGTGTCTGAAAGAAAAAACAAGAGGAAAAATTAATGAAAATTTGATGTTCATTAACGTAGTCTACATGTATTCTCTACTCATGAAAAGCCTGAGGACTGATGTTTACATTTTCTTCCGGAACAGCTCAAGGTATTGGTGGAATTTTTCAGCCTAGCTCGAAAGACCATGTGACCAGCATCCACCTGAAAAGGGTGATGTGACTGTCCATGATCTATTCCCTTCCTTGGGTAAAGCCACTCACGTGTCCAGAAGGAGGCCACCACCAAGACCTGGGGCAGGAGCAGCATGCTGCCAGCTCTGGTCAGGAGATGTGATTGAATAATGGGAAGACTGCAGAGCAAACCAGCTGGTTGATTTAGTAGGAGGAAGTGGTGTTTAGAACACACAGCTAGTATCCAGGCTACAGAGACAGGGGCTGGTGGTAATTCTCAAACATCCTGTGGAAATAGGTCTGCTATTTCATCAGCAGATTTCTTTCAATCACCCTGTGATTTTCACCAACCAGTGACGTTAGTATAAAGAAACAATTTTATGGTTAAAAAGTCCTTTACTGATCTAACAGAGGGGAAGAGAAAGACGAGCGAGGAGAGGCCAAAGTCCACACTTGACAGGCTCATGGAAACTTGAAACATCTCTCATGGTCACTATATTGCATCGGGCAATCACGGATGTAGGGACAGCTTACTAGCAGTGTGTGACCCTGCTCTATACTTTCTATAACCCAGCTGAAGAAGACTTGATTCAGATTCTTATTTTTGAATATTACCATTAAATGGAATCCTTAGAGATGCTGTGTCCTTGGAGTGCCTCAATATGCCTTAAAAGCAAAAGCCATTGTTATTTTCTATTATAAAATGAGTGCAACCTCAGTATGGATCATAAAGAAACACAAACAGAAGAGAAGACAATGGCTTTTTGTCCTATCGCATAGAGACAACTATGTCTATTCCTTTTAAAATTTTGTTTCACATAGGTATGATGATATATATGCAATGTTATGCTCTGTCTTTATTATTTAATAAGATACCATGAACATTTTTATATTCTGTAATTTCTTCCTTATAGGGTTCTGACTCTTAGCAAGGTTCTTTGGTTGACCACCACGTTGACTCTCAGATAAGTTAGGGTCCCACAGACTCTTTTCATTTTACATGGAAGTCCACAAAACAGGAGAGCAGAATAGAAAATTCATTACTTAATTCATCGCTCAGTTTTGAAACCCTGTTATGTTCACTTTGGTCACCTAGCAGCTTACCAAAATGTACTGTATCATCTGTCTTCCTTTTCAAGCTTCATTTCCTTATCACTCTACTTGTCTGCCTGCATCTCCCAAATAAATTCAGTTCAGTTCAGTTCAGTTCAGTCACTCAGTCGTGTCTAACTCTTTGTGACCCCATGGACTGCAACATGCTAGGCCTCTCTGTCCATCACCAACTCCCGGAGTTTACTCAAACTCATGTCCATCACGTCAGTGATGCTATCCAACCATCTCATCCTCTGTTGTCCCCTTCTCCTCCCACTTTCAATCTTTCCCAGCATTAGGGTCTTTTCAAATGAGTCAGTTCTTTGCATCAGGTAGCCAAATTGGATTTTCAGCTTCAGCATCAGTCCTTCCAATGAATATTCAGGACTGATTTCCTTTAGGATGGACTGGTTGGATCTCCTTGCAGTCCAAGGGACTCTCAAAGTCTTCTCCAATACCACAGTTCAAATGCATCAATTCTTCGGTGCTCAGCTTTCTTTTTAGTCCAACTCTCACATCCATACCTGACTACTGGAAAAACCATAGCTTTGACTAGATGGACCTTTGTTGGTAAAGTAATGTCTCAGCTTTTAATATGCTGTCTAGGTTGGTCATAACTTTTCTTTCAAGGAGTAAGCGTCTTTTAATTTCATGGCTGCATTAACCAGATTGTTTAGAGCATCCACTCTGAGGATACGAATAAATGATCCTCCCCTCCTATGCTAGCACTCCTTTGAAGATGAGATATCCTTTCCAGACACCAAGGTCAAGCTGTGTCACCATGCACATGCTAATCTGTCTCTTTGAAATCTTGAAGAAGGGCACCCTTGTCGTGTTTGATGTCTGATCTTTGTTCTGAGAGAAATAAAAGTGTCATTAAGGCATCCCAAATGGTGCTGGGTGCCATTGTGGATGTGGTTTCAGACATGTTCCTGCATTACTGAGAACTTGAATTTTCTGAAGGGTATCAAATTCAGGGACACCACCAGTCCTTTTAAAAACTGTTATCTGCTAGCCGCTGCCAGCTGCAACCTTATGGTCTCGGGGTCACCTTTTACACCTTGCTGGCTCCAGTCTTACTTATTAACACAACAAACTATGGTTTTTAAATCAGGAGCACCTGGGCTGTTGCCGTCAGTTTAACTCAAGTAAAAAAATTATTTGTATTCTTGTAAAGATTATTTATGGATTATTTGCATCAACAGGCTGTTGTGTCCCTTTACTAAAGTTTGCAGCTCCCATCAGGTGACCTCTTGATACCAATGTCCTCACGGACATGTAGCAGTTCCATGTCCGTTCAGGTCTAAAGGGAGAGTGGCTTTGTGCTGCCCTGGCAAAGCTGAAGGGTAGGGACAGAAACTATATGGCATGCAAAACGGAAAATATTTCCTTCACAGAAAATGTCTGACAACTCCTATTTTGGAACAATTAAAAATAACATTTACATCCATTTATTATACTTGTAGTACATATCATTTCTTTCTGTAAATTCAAATTTTGACCTATACTGTATGTTTTATGCCTAAATAGCTTACTTTAACATCTCTCATAGAGTAAGTTGGCTGGCAATGGATTCCCTCAATTTTGTTTTGTCTGAGAATTCTTCATTTCTCCTGTACTTTTGAAGTATATTTTTGCTGAGATGCCCATTTTATCTTCCCTCCTTTTAAAGATTTTATTCCATTGTCTTTTTGAGACTTCCCTGGTGGTCCAGTGCTAAGACTCATGCTCCCAATGCAGGGAGCCCGTGTTTGATCACTTGTCAGGGAACTAGATCCTACATACCACAACTAGATCTTAAGACCCAGCACAGTCAAACAAATGAATAAATATTTTAATAGATTTTAATTCACTGCTTTCTTGTTTGCATGCTTAATGAAGTGAGTCTACTATTTTTTTCCCATCCAGCTGCAGGCCTCCACCCCCATTCATTTAACTGTGACCACAAAGGAAATCACACCTCCATGCTTCTGTTTCATCAGTTACAAAATGTGACTCTTGACAGCACCAATGTCAATGGATTATCTCAAACATGAGAACAATTTACCTCATTCGGACAGTGTCAGAAAGAGTAGGAACTGAATGCATGGCCACTGTGAGGCTCTGCAGGTTCACTGCAGAATCCTGGGGAAAAGGATCCTGACTCAAGTGTCTACCTTGTTCTGGGATCCTCTAATGGCCCCGGGGGGGTCAGATGCCAGTGCAAAAGGAACTGTGATGGTCAGGCTGTAACACAAACCCTGAGTGCACAGTCAACAGTCACCCCATTCATGGAAGAAAGGGAAAGAGCCTCATCTCAAGTTCACCCCAGTCTGCAGGGAATAAGCAGACTCTGAACTTCTTCAGGATGGCCTGAGAGAGTTGAAGGGACATGGGATTTAGGGTCTAAAAAGTCACTTTATCCAGCTGCATCTTAAATTACTAGTATTAATGTGGAAAACGTGAATATTACATTGCATCAGTGTTGTGATGCTGATATAAGATGCAATATCACCAGTGGGTTTTCTGGTGATTTCCTCTTTGAGACTGAGCCATGTAACTTGCAAGTAATCTCTGGATAGTTAAAAAAAAAATCATACAAGACGCACTTTCCTTAGTGGGAGGCTTGGGCAGGGCTCCCTCTGTGGCTGCCTGTGGCTGCCTGTTGGATCTGTGGACCCTCTGTTGAGGATGTGGTGAGCACAGACCTGGTGATGGTTCTTGTGCGTGTTATCCAAGGAACTCCCACACTGTGGGCAGACACCCAGCCGGCACAGTAGTACATGGCCTCATCTTCTTTCTCTAAGAAACTTATTTTCAAGGTAGAAGTGGAAGAGGCAACATCTTTTTTGGCCTCAAACTTGTTTTTCGTCCCTCCTAAGTGACTTTGCGCAGAGGCTGCTAAGACGTATAGTAGCTGTTCTAAACCCTGATCTGGTTTTTGCCGGTACCAGTGGATGTAATCTTTGCTGAAGTCCTTAGAGGACACCTTGCAAGACATAACTGCACTCTTTTCTCTTGTTCCAGTAACTGATACTTCAGGTTGCTCCAATGTTAATTGCCCAAGGCCAACTGCAAGCAAAGAAGAGAAATCCCCATAAACAAAAGACTTGGGAAGAGGCAACAAGAAAGACCTTCTTAGTCTCTCCTGTAGACTGAAATGACTGAGAGGGCAACTCACAAGACCAGAGGGAGGAGAAGAGGACAGCTTCCAGCAGCGCCATCTGATCACCAGACTGACTCCCAGGGAAGAGGTAAAAAAGGCAAGGTCTGTTGGCAGGAAGTCTCAGGCCAGTGGCAGGGGAGTGGGCCTGGATCTTGTGTCTCAGAAAAAGAGGTGAATCTGGTGGTATGGTTGTCTGAGGTTCTTCATAATCTGCAACAGATATGAGCAGCTGTGGTTTCACGGGGGTTTCCTGCCCCTAAGTCCTGGGCAAGAGAAGGATCATGATCTGAACAGACAACCCAGAGATGAATGCGTATACTTGAGGGTGGGGCTACTCTCATAGCTGCTCAGCTCATCTCCCTGAAATTTCATACCGTAGTAACCTTGGTACAGAAATAGGAAGACATCCCTGCTGTGTTCTTTCCCGATGTCTGTCTTTCTGTAAATGGTTGGTGATCCAGGACTTGTGTATGAAACCTGACCTTTATTTTTCTATAATGCTACAGAAAACCATCAGACGTAAGAACATCTTCTTGACATGATTTAATATGCAAGCACTGGAATACTTTAGAGTTTTTTTTTAATTAATTGAGATGTCACCATGCAAATTACCATTCAGAGAAATCACGCTTTGTTTACAATCTGGGTGCCTTCAAAAAGGGACTACATTGCAATTACTTGTGGATCTTTGAAACAGAGCAGTCTGTGGAAATCAGCTGCTACTCAACCTGGACCTGAGAACAGTTTCATGAGCATTATGTCACATGCAGGGGTATTTTTTAAGCAACATTCTGTTGAAGATGCAGTGATAACCTTTAAAATTAATATGGCATCTAATATGTATTGAGGACTTTCTATTCATCAGGCATGGTTCTAAATGTTCTCATATTATTTTATTTAATCTTCTTCACTATCCTGGGAGGTAGCTGTTATGACTATCTCCATTTGACAAAGGAGAACAGTGGCAAACAGACTCATTTAAAGACGTGAGGCTGGTAAATTGGTAACTCCCAAAACCACCATTGTTTATTAAAGGAAATGGGTAAAATAAGATGTAAAGAGGACCAAAAAAGCACAGATCATTTACTTTGAAAATTTCTCTGCATTTTTACTGCTAGAGATCAGATTGATGGGTATTATTTATATAAATATACATTTAAGTGGAATTTGCATGTTTAGCTGTATATTCTCGTTTGGTTATCTTATGATTGTAAGCAGCACAGCTTTTTAAATGTAATTTTATTTATTTTTGGCTATGCTGCATCTTCATTGCTGCTCGGGCTTTTCTCAGGTTGCTGAAAGTGTGGACTTCTCCTTGTGGTGGCTTCTTTTGTTGCGGACCACGGGCTTGAGGGAGCACGGGCTTCAGTAGTTGTGGCTCTCAGGCTCTAGAGCACAGGCTCAGTAGTTGTGGCACACGGGCTTAGTTGCTCCACGGCATGTGGGATCTTCCCAGATCAGCAATGGAACACTGAACTGGCAGGTGGATTCTTTACCACCTAGGCACCAAGGAAGCCCCAGCAACATAGTTTTCAATAATCTATGTGATATTATTTTTAATTATTAATAGTTATTTTTAATAACTAAAAAAAATTAAACAATTTCCAATACCACTTACCCCATCTGACATGGGCTGAATTAATTAAGCTTCTTTTGCCTCACTTTCCACAGGTGCAGCTTGCCTGCATACATATCTTTTATTATTTTATTTTAAAATTTCCAACTTTAAATTTGTTTTATTTATCTATATTTTTGGCCACATGGGCTCTGTAGTTGCCCCACAGCATATGGAATCTCAGATGCCTGACCAAGAATCAACCCCATGTCCCCTGCATTGGAAGGTGGATTCTTAACTACTGAAAACTTCGTTTGCAATGGCTGCATAGTTTTCTATCCTTTGAACACAGTGTAAATCTTTCCCTGTTATTCACCGTTTATCCTGACATGTGAGAAGCTGCTGGAGACTTCTCTAAGATCTGATACAGAGGGCCCTACTATGGACATCCCATTAGTGCTTTGTGGGGCGCTTTTGATTACTCAATGAGCCATCATGTGAAGAAGGGAGCAGAAGCAGGTTGACAAGCTTGTCTTCGAGTTCCTGTCTCAAAAGGGCTTATGTTCTCAGACCATTTGTTTCTCTCAAGTCTGGGTCTCTACCTTAGCTTGTGTTCAAAGTTTAGGTAAACAACAATGCCCTATTTAGTTTCAAGAAATCAACTGCAGCCTGCACTGAGTGTATCCGATGGATAGAAATTAACTGGACAGACAATCACAAAAGGTTACCTGCATCAGAGGTAGAAGGAGAAAGGTTGACAGACTGATTCTATGTCAGTCTTTCCTGTGAGTCCCCCCTTTTTTTCTTTCAAAGGCCTCCCTGAATTAGTAATGGAACTGGAGTCTTAAGTAGAGGGGGTCATGGGGATGACTGTGTTGCCGCGACTTTGGAAATTATCAAATAAATACGGGAATACTCATGGCATAGATGCAAAGTGATATCCACGGGGTGCCTGGTATGCGCTGTATAAGAAGTGTGGATTGCAAAGTAGTCCTCCTTTGTTTCACAATGATTTGAGAGGTGGCATCACAAAACAATAGAATTTTTATTGTTTTCAAATACTTTGGAAAGTAAATTGATAACTTATTGGCATTTCATGTATTCTTTGAAGACTGCTAATGATTCAAATGCTGCTCACAAGATTCAGCATAAAATAGTAAATTGTGCCAGTGAATGTTCCACAAAGGTGAGTTTTGTTTTCTCCGTGGAGGTAGGAACAACACATAATACTTTTTACCCCCTTAGAATGAGGAGGAGACTCCAGAGCTACACAACCTGGATCCAACCCTATTCTGCCAAGTGCCAGCTGTGTGACTTGAACAAGTTCCTGAGACTCATAGGGTCTCATTTTCCTCATGAGTCAGCGGGCTTTATAATAACTGAAATCTCACGGGTTGTCAGGAGGGTTAAGGGGCTTCATATATATGTGCAAAAAATTGAGAACACTCATAAAGAATTCTCTCACACCCAAAATTATTAGCTGTTCTTCTCTTGGACCACCTTCTCTCTTTCTTTATAGGCAGATACGAGTGGCTTTCGTTCTGCTCACAATATGGAGGGTTCATCTGCTGGTTTCAGGGGCTCAGCCTTCTACTCTGATGACATCATGCTGGCACATCCCTGCCTGTGAAGTGGGGAACCAGCTTCCTCCTCCCACAGAAAAGACACTTGCTCCATCCCAAATTTACCTCAAGTATTCTGCTTGTTATATAGAATTATGATCTTTAAATTTTCAGGATAGCCTTGCAGTCCTGTTAAAAAAGCACAGACTTCTTAGCTCTGACCAATCATTTTAACTGTCTAAGCTTTCATTTCTTTGTCTGTAAAATGGGCAGATAATGATTACCATGCAGGAGAGCTGTGATAATTATGTGTGGTGATACATATGTACCATGCCTAGGAATCCTGGTACACAGTGATTCCTTTCTTCAGCCGGAACTATTCACAGTTAGTGGAAAACTCTGGATGGTGACATAATAAATAAAGCCCATGTCCACTCATTTGCAGAGAAGACTTTAGTTCATTAGGAAAGAAGATTTGAGAACATCGTGGTCAGAAATGCTTGCTGCTCAAGCTGAGTCCTAATACATGAACACAAGCCAAAGTTTTCTCTTGGAATTCTCAATAAGGCAGCAGAGATGGTGAGCCAGGGGCTGGAAGCCCAGGTAGGAAGTAGCTGACTTTGCTCCTGTGGGAAGACTATGATGGGGCATAGTCCCAGAAGAGGCAGTTGTTACACTGTGTTGGCATCTTTAGTGCTGTGGGTCCCAAGAGCATAGTACTCAATGACCGCATCTTTTTCTATGAAATTTGTGGTAAAGACTGAACTCAGCTAAGTTCAGTCACTCAGTCATGTCCAACTCTTTGCAACCCTATGGACTGCAGCATGTCAGGCTTCCCTGTCGAACTCCCGGAGCTTGCTTAAACTCACGTCCATCGAGTCGATGATGCCATCCAACTATCTCATCCTCTGTTGTCCCCTTTTCCTCCTGCCTTCGATCTTTTTAGCATCAAGGTCTTTTCCAAGAAGTTCTTCACATCAGGTGGCCAAAGTATTGGAGTTTCAGCTTCAGCATCAGTCCTTCCAGTGAATATTCAGAACTGATTTCCTTTAGGATTGACTGGTTTCATCTTCTTGCAGTCCAAGGGACTCTCAAGAGTCTTCTCCTGCACCACAGTTCAAAAGCATCAATTCTTCAGTGATCAGCTTTCTTTATAGTCCAACTCTCACATCCATACAAGACTACTGGAAAAACCATAGCTTTGACTAGTTGGACCTTTGTCGTTCTTTTGTCAGCAAGTGACTGCACTACCCAGTATTTTATTTTCATCATGAGTCAAACCTGTCTCATGATAAGAAAAAAAAACCTATAAATAGTGCAGCTTAAAGGATCTAATATATGGAAAACATTGAAAACACTGATAGAGAATTCATTCACACAGCACACACACACACACAAACCAAAGTTAGCTCTTCTGTTCTTGGCAGATACTCTCTCTTCTTTTCTGGAGTGCCTCACCATAAGCCAATGAGGTATCTTCACTACCAACCAGAGATTGAACTATGCCCCCTGCAGTGGAAGTGTGAGTTCTAAATACAGAGCCGCCAGGGAAGTCCCACTTTCTGTTCTTCCACAAGCAGAATCCAGATAACCAAGGATGGTGGGCTCATCCAACCACCTCAGTGATCCAGAGCTCTATTCTGATGACATCTTGCTGGCAGAATCATTTTCCTCACGTCCCCAAAAATGCTGCACATTTTTTCATCCCTCATCTACCCCCAGTATCCTAGTATTCACTTAAAGAATTGCAATTCTTAAACATTTCAGTGTGATCTCATAGTCCAGATCATCAACATGGACTTGTTGTCTTAAGCTAATCATGATGGTTAAATTCTCTACACTTTCATTTCTTTAGTTGTGAAACAGGCCAATTAAACTTACACTACAGCATTTCTGTCTTAAATATATGTCGTAATAATGGCACATGGTAATGCACTCTTTCAACCTGAAGCTTGCCCACATACAGAAGTCTCTGGATTGGGAGATGATGAACAGTAGCACAGGCTGTGTGCCCTCAGACAAGATTTCAATTCATTGAAATACAGTGTCAAAAAAAAAAAAAGCTTTGGAAGCACAGCTTTTTGGATCTGCTGGAAGGTCATATGCACACATGATCCAAGATGACTTCCTAAAAAGCTCAGG